CAGTTGATGTTTATGTTTCGTCTCATTTTGATGTTTTCAAATATATGTTGTCGAAACCTATCTTGCATAGTCGAATTGGCAAGTGGGCATTAGCATTGACTGAATACTCCTTGACCTTTATGCCTCTTAAGGCAGTAAAAGGACAAGTGGTTGCAGACTTCATAGTCGACCACTCAATTCAAGTCGAGGATATTAATTATGTGGAGATAGAACCTTGGAAATTCTACTTCGATGGTTCCAGCCATAAAAATGGAACAGGAGTAGGAGTCTTGATTATTTCTCCAGATAAAATTCCAACAACATTCAAGTACCAAATAAAAGGTTCTTGTTCGAACAACGAGGCTGAGTATGAAGCTCTAATTACTGGCCTTGAAATATTGTTGGAATTGGGGGCAACTCGAGTCGAAATAATGGGAGACTCAGAGTTAGTCATCAAGCAAGTCACAAAGGAGTATAAATGCATAAGGGAGAATCTCATTATGTACTTTGTGATAGCAAATCGTTTATTGAAACAATTTGAAAGTGTCAATATTCGACACATACCCAGAGTCGAAAATCAAATAGCCAATGACTTGGCACAAATTGCATCAGGGTATAAGATTTCAAAAACGAGATTACAAAGAGCAATCGAAGTTCGAGAAAAGATAAAAGCAACTTGTCTATCACCATCAGATTTGGAATCGACGAGGCTAGGATATGCTGATCACAGTAACTTCGAGATTTCGTTCATTGATAATTTGTCAGATCAAGATTGGAGGAAACCCATTGTGGACTATCTTCAAAATCCAGGAGCTCCGACAGAACGAAAAACAAAATACAGGGCGTTGAGTTTTGTACTCATGGGTAATGAGTTATTCAAGAAGACGCCTGAAGGGGTGTTGCTGAAATGTTTAAGTGAAACTGAAGCATACATAGCCCTTTCGACTACGCATGCTGGGGCATGTGGGGCTCACCAAGCAGGCCATAAGATGAAATGGTTGTTGTTTCGACAAGGACTATATTGGCCCACTATGCTGAAAGATTGTGTTGAGTTCGCCAAAGGTTGCCAAGAGTGTCAAGTTCATACAGGCATCCAGCATGTACCAGCAAGCGAACTTCACTCGATAGTGAAGCCTTGGCCCTTTCGAGGATGGGCGTTGGATCTTATTGGAGAGATTCGACCAGCATCATCAAAGAGTCAGAAATACATATTGGTAGGCATTGATTATTTTACTAAGTGGATCGAAGCTGTCCCTTTAGTCAATGTGGACCAAGAAAATGTCATTGAATTTATTCAAAAGAACATTATCTTTAGGTATGGAATCCCTGAGACAATAACAACTGATCAAGGTTCAGTTTTCACTGGTCGAAAGATGCAGTGGTGATAAGAGGCTCTTGAGAGTAAATGGTAAATATTTGAAAAAATATAAGCCTATACTTCAAGAGATAAAAATAAAATAATAAAAGAACAAACTAAATTAACCATAAAAATGCCAAAATGGAAATTTTTATTAATTTCAGCCAAGATGGCATTTGTTGTCGAAAACGATTACAGAAGATGGTTACAAAAGAGAATCAATCAAAAGGTAAGAGAATTCTTGAGTCGAAGATACTTGGCATACTGCAGCTCCAACCTCTTTTTGCACCAAGAGTTTTCTTGCACTAGCTTGGCAATTTGAGCGTCGAGGCTTTGAGCCCTCTCAGCGAATTCCAGGCCTTGCTTGATCTCAATCTGGCTCTCAGTGTCTGGGATGGTCGAAAGAATTTCCTCCTGGAGTACAGTGTTGGCGTTTATCTTCGCCTCTATCTCTGCAATTTGTGCTCGGAAGGAGACATTCTCTCGCTCAATAGCATCGACCCTTTCTTGTGCAGACGCTTTCTGTTTCGACAACTCGGCAATTCGAGAAGTCGAATCTGAGACAGCAGTCCACGCGGATGAGCTTTTGCCATGCAGCACTTCGAGCTGACTGTTAAAACCTCGTTGGCGCCTGTAGTCCGCTGAGACTTGATCAATCATAGAATGTAATTCCATGATTAAGTCTGAGATTTCTGGGGCTACAGCTTCGAAGTCAACAGCATTCAAAACCTTTTTTAAGCATGATGGAGCAGTGGGGTCCCCCTCTAAAGTCTTCATTAAATCTCTCTTGAAGAACTGGGCCTTAACCTTCGCCAACGCATCATCAAGAGGAGAAGTTTCAGTAGATTTCCCCGACAGGGTAGGAATTTCCTGACTAGTGTCAGAAGAACTCTTACTCTCGATGATTGCATTGAGGTAGCTGACTGGGTCAGTTTGTTTCAAGATTTCCAAGTCCTCTTTTGACCTGTGCTTTGAGGAGGTGACCCTTGCCATAGTATTATCTTGGGCTTGAGGCTGTGGAATGCTGAGTGCCTCGTTTGGTTGCTCTTCGACTTGGACTGAGGCGGTACTAGCGTCGACTTGTGGTTCTTCGTTAACATCACCTTGGGGTCCTTCGCCAGCGTCATTTTGTGGCTCTTCGCTAGCGTCACCCTGGTGTTCTTCGCCAGTACCACCTGGGTGCTCTTCGTCAACAGCATCTTGATTCTCTTCGCCATTGCCTTGGTCTCTTCCTTCAGGATTCTCTTCTGATGACAAGTCCACCACAGGAACCGTTTCTGGCTGTGTGTCCTCCACCATAGGTTCTTCTGTTGTCTTCTCCACTGTTTCAGCATTGGCCTCATTCTCAGTGTGGGCTTCGTCATTGCCCAAATCTTTTTCCTGAGGCCTGCTAAGGTCAGCAGATTCTAGAGTTTCTGAAGTCCTTGGTGGGGAACTTTCAGTAGTGTCCTGAAAAGGAGAAAGAAGACAAATCTTCAAGATGTCGAAAGAGATACAATCGAATACTGGTATCTATGCCTAAAATAGATTACCTGTGGATTAACTTCAGCCCCAGGGCTGGAATTGTCACTTTCGACAGGCTTGGTAAGAAGAGCGTTCAGTTCCTCCTCAGTTGGCTCCTCGATGATCACTGCAGGTGGCCTAGGCTTTCTCACAGCGACCTTTATTCTGACGGTTCGACCTTCAGGAGCAGGAGTAGGAACAGAAGCGTCCTTCGTTAACTTTCGCCTCTTTAAGGGAGCAGGAGGGGAATCACTTTCGTCATCACTCCCCGATTCGACCACCAATGCTGCCCTTTTCTTGGGCGAAGGGGCCTAGAAAACCAATAGGAATTCGATTGAATAATTACATCGAAAATAAAAAATCGAAAGCCAGAAGAAAAATGAAGAAAATCTGGTTACCGATGCAGGAGGCCTCCTCGAAGAGCCTTCTCCCTGTTGGTTGCCTGTTGTCTTCGCCGGCGCTATAGTCTTCGCCGGCGGTGGAGGTTTTGTCGAAGGGACTCCTCCTTGTGGGCCTTCTGTAGCCTTCTTGGCTAGGGGCTTTCGAACAACTGAAAGCGAAAAAGAAAGTTAACAGGCTAACAGTCGAAGAGAAAGATAAAAAGTAATGTGAGAGCATGAACTTACATTTCTTTACTTTGTCCAACACAAGGACAAAAGACTTCTGCAACTCTGCCATGAAGTCCTTCTCGTCGAAGAAGTACTCAGCATAATAGCTTCTCCACCACTCCTCAAAGGATGGTGAGCAAAGGAAATTAAGCTGGTAGTCAAACAGCGAGAGGATTGTTCGACCAGCATATCTTCCGATATGCTTGATGGCAGCTTCTTCTGTATAATCGTTGCAGAAGTACAACATTGACTTCTCTCTTTGAAAAATAGGAGAAGGCAGGGTTTGGATGATACCAAACTGGCGAGATACCAGATTTGGTTGATAGGCAAGCAGACTCAAATGAGTCTTAGAACTCTTAAATCGAAGAGGCATGATCCTGGGTGTCAGGAACGCCTCCCAAAGTACAGTGTGCTCATCGACATTGGGACCACTCGACTCCTTTGGATGTGGCCTTGTGAACCATGCTGGCCCCACCCTCCGTTGAGCAAATGGAGCCATAGTTGAAACAAATTCCTTCCTTCGAGCGAACATCAGAACGAAGTTAGTGAAGGTTTGTTGAAACTCTAGCCCATCTTCCACAGGTGTCAGTAGAGCCAGCCTAATTCCTTCGATACGTCTATTAGCTATCGCTGGGGCTTGTTCATTTATCTGAATCTTCTTGGGTAAGAAAGATTCGAAAGTGGCGTTGAGCCACAGTTGAAGTAGCCAGAAAGGCCCAGCGAGTAGCAAACTGGCCCTATCTTCGATATGTTTCAAGAGAGTAACCCCATTGCTGATTGAGTCATAAAGACTGGCCAGAATTAGTTCTGCCAAACAGATGTTTTGGCGGTGATGCAGTTGGGTGGCAAGAGTGACCATCTTTTTGGTCACTTGTAGAGACTTCGAGCAAAACACAAAGCGAGTTAGCCATAAGGCTAGAAACGCTATGTGTTCGACATCCGACACTGTATCCGTCGACCTGTCGTGATAATGGTTGATAAAGGTGGTGTATGTTGGCTTGGTCTCAGAGAAGCCAATTTGGTCCTCCGACATCTCTTCCGGGTCGAAGTAATCTCCGGTTGGTCGAAGGCCAGTGATGGCCGCTACGTCGAAGAGTGTGGGGGTTAACATCCCACATGGAAGGTGAAAGGTGAAGTGAGAGTAATCCCAAAACAACAGCGAAGCTATAAGCATCTCTGGGGAGTAGTTTAAGCCTGTCTTCGACAGCATTACTAGGTCAAAGATTCCCATTTCCTTCCAGACTGGAGTTTGATGTTTCTCCAACTTTGTTAGCCAAGCAACATAGTCAGAGGTCAGATTAGGGCAGGACCTGAAGACCCTAACACTTCTGTTGAAGAAACGGAGGTCGATTTTCTCGCGTGTAGGGTCTTCGTTGTCTTCTGCGTCCTTCTTGGCGCATGCTACTGGCTTGAGTTTCTCGACGATGGGGAAATAGCTCTTGATCTTCAGAGCTTCAGAGATGCTTGGGTTCATGGGGCCAGACATTGCGAAGATCTGGTTGGAGTATCCAACCGGGATCATCAAGTGACGCGAGTAAGCATCGCGAACGGAGATGTCAGAAGGTTCAGGAACCCTTCGTTTCCCTGTAGAGTTCACTACCGGAGCAGTAACAAAGACCTTGGGTTTAACAAGTTGTTCAGTTGGTGCGTTAGTCTTGGGGGCAGTGGAAGCAGAGGCCATTGTCGAGGATGAAGATGAAGTGAAAAAGGAAGAATTTTTCTGCAAAGAGAGCAAGTTTGTACGAAAGCAAGGGAGTTTGAGGGCTAGTTTGCGTAAAAAGTCCCAAAATGGGATATTCACTACTATTTATAGTAGTGGGAGAAATTCCCAATAACGAGGACATTAAATGTCATTTAATGCTGCAGGAATTAGTGGGACGCGTGGCAGCATCCTGTTGTTTTGGCCGTTTCTGCAGAAACAGAGAGACGCAGCGTGCGTCCTCGTTTTTGGGATTTGTCATAATGACAAATTCTGAAGTGACGTTTGGTACTGCACGCCGTACTGAAAGTGACGTCCTAGGATCAAATCAATGATGGTTTCTTGGGATTGCCAATAGTTGGTAAAAAGCAACAAAAAGTGCACAAGTTAACTTGTGACTAAGCGTGGAAAAACAGGTGTCGAATGGCGTTTTCAAAGAATGCCTTTTTCTTTCAGAGTCGAAATAAGGCATTCTTGGGGGGCAATTTGTTGGCTCCTAAATTCGACACCTTTGTTTTGATTGATGGCAGCCATTAAAAGCTGAAAAATGCTTTCGACTGGCTAAGCCTGTCGAAGTGCCCGTCGAAAGATGGCAAAATACTTAGAAGATTTCTTCCAAGGAAGAAGGCTGATTGCCTTCGACGTCGAAGGAGTTTTCGTCGAAGACGTTTCTTGATGAAAGCGTTCGATGGTCCAAAGTAGAGCAGTTTGAAATTCAAAGCTTTGGAGGGAAGACGGTTTCCAGCAGTTACTACGTGTAAACGTGCAAGGATCTGGAGCGTCGAGCATGGAGAACGTGCCAAGTGGCTTAATCTCGAAGCAGTGTAACTGCCCGACGGTTACTTGGAATGTTTTAGTATAAATAGGAGTAGACATGTAGTTTCTCGCGGGTGTTCACAAATAGATACATAGTCACTCATTTAGATTCAAGTACCCAGTGTGAGCGAAAGAATTGTTGAGAAATGTATGTGTGAAACACCAATTTTATCAATTAAAGTCATTTACTTTTCCAGTATTTTACTTGCTTTTCTCCTTTAAATTCCTGTCGAACCTTTACTTTAAAGCCTTGTTTATTTTACCAAGCTTTTCCTTTATGCAATTTACTTGAAACATTTTACTTAAAGCCTTATCCACCTTAATCAAACTTCAAAATCAACCTATGTCCATAGGATCAATCTGATCGATCCTGCGAGTAACCAAATAAGTAACCATTTGGAGGATCAGCGGTTGTTTACCAAAACCCAAGGTAAACACAACTATATGTGTCGACTTGAAGGTTGAATGTGTCGACCGAAACAAGTCAGTGGCTACATGCTTTAAAATAATAGTGAATGTGTCGACCTGAAGATTATATGTGTCGACACATAAAATTAATTTTTCTGTAATTTCAGAAAAGTTTCAGTATGTGTTGACCTGTATGATGCATGTGTCGACCTAACCAAGTCAAAGACTAAATGCTTATTTATTGAGTTGCATGTGTCGATCTGAAATACGTATGTGTCGACATATACAGTTCAATTTTGTGCAGAAACAACTTTTTAATGTATGAGACTGTTTTCAATTTGATTCTAAAATATCATAAGACTTCTAAATAAATTGGATATCACACTAATCTCAAAAATAACGTCCAATTACTAAAATGCTAAGTTATCATATTTTTGACATTATTCAAAATAAATATGAAAGCAAGTTTCACTCACAATATTGATATATAAAAATTATAGTAATACCTATACGGATCCAAAATAAAACGGGGTAAACAGGCGGCGGCACACCAGAACAAGGCGGAAAGAATGATCATCTCACAAGCAATAGTGGAAGATGCCATACTGCAGATACCACAAAGGAGGAGAATGAGATCAAATCTCCATGGCTCGTCGGAGATTCAGAAATACTGAACAAAGTAGATGAAAGAGAACACATACCAACGGAAAATCCAAAGAAAATCGAAGCAAAACCCTGGGTTGACATTATTCAAGGTAAGAGAAATCAAGAAAGAGGGATGACTGTAGAATTTATAGCCCCAAATGTTGTCAATGGAGAGATAGAAATTAGCATTAAGGAGAAAGATGTGGCTATGGAATTGGAATTCTGGGAGAACGCAATCATTTTATTCGCGATGGTGCAAACACTATCGATGAATGCAGTGAGAAAATTTATGGAGAAAACCTGGAATTTTGTATCATTACCGGAGCTCTATTACAACGATGCAGGATATTTTATCGTCCGATTCAAGAACAATTAGGACAAGGAGAAAGTCATGGCCCAAACACCATATTTTATATATGGTAAACCCCTATTTCTTCGATATTGAAAGAGATTGAAGTCGTGGGTAGTGGAATCAATACTCCTTAGATAGTCATGGGAGATTACAATAATGTCCTACAGAGCAATGATAGAATTGGAGGGAATGTTGTAACGGAGATGAAATACAAGGATCCGGCAAACATGATGCAAGCAATTGGTTTATATGAAGCTAGCACAAGACGAAATTACTATATGTGGACCAATAAACACTCTGTAGGTCTTATCTATTCAAGGATAGATAATAAGGATTGGAAATTCTTATTGGTTTCATAAATATCAAGAGGTTGTTATGGAAGTGCTGCCTTCCAATATTTCGGATCATGCCCCTATTAAAATCTGGGTACCGTGCCAACAACCTAAGAGGAAAAGTATGTTCAAATTTCTCAACTGCATAACCCAAGATGATAGTTTTATGCAGGTTACCTCTGAGAGTTGGTAGCAAAACATTCAAGGTAATGCTATGTGGAGACTGTGGTCAAAGCTCAAAAGACGTCAATATAAGTTGTCCCCAATTGCCAGGAAAATGTCAGATATTCAGGGACAAATTCTGCAATCTAGGCACGGCCTGTTGAAGTCTCCAGAATAGCTCCAGCAGAATATGTTTGATGATGATGCTATAAACCAGGTTAATCAGCTTACTGCACATGTCCTCCATCTTAATAATCTGGAAGAATCAATTTTGATGCAAAAGTCAAAAATCACATGGCTTAAATTAGGATACGGGAATAATTCATTTTCCATGCTTTTGTAAAGGATAAAAATAAGCATCAGGGCTTGTACAATATGACCTCATTGCAGGGGGATCAACTCTAGAACCATGAAGCTATTGAAGGAGAAATTCTAGCGTTTTATACGAAACTAGTAGGATCCAATGCCACTGAGTTGAAAGAGATTGATATAGAGGTCGTGAGAAATGGTAAAACATTATCTAATGAGCATGCTCTCTCTCTTATTTGCCCTGTTACAGAGAAAGATATTTTGGAGGCGCTAACAAGCATTGGGAATACGAAAGCCCCGGGGATAGACGGATATAATTCCTTCTTTTTCAAGTCAGTTTGGTCTCTAGTTGGAAGGGGTGTCACTGATGTTGTTCTGGAGTTTTTTAACACAGGAAACATGTTCAAAGCAGTCAATTGTTCTTTGGTTACACTAATTCCTAAGTCACCTGAAGCAACTACAATAAAGGACATGAGACCCATTGCGTGCTGTACTGTAATTTCAAAAATCATTTCAAAAATCCTCACTAGCAGGTTGGGCAAAGTTATTGGGACCATTGTAGATGACAACCAGTCAGCCTTCGTTCAGGGAAGGGTTATACACGACAATATCATGATGGCACAAGAGCTTGTTAGAGGTTATAATAAGAAAAACATATCCCCCGTTGTACGGTGCAAATGGATATCCAAAAGGCGTACGATACCGTGGAGTGGAAGCCTCTCTGTCAAATCATGGTGGAGCTTGGATTCCCTCAAAAATTCATCAAGTGATTAATGGCATGTGTCACTACGGTTTCTTATAGATTCTCCGTTAATGGTGTGTCGTCGAAAATCCCTTCCCGCCAAGCGGGGTTTGAGACAAGGGGGCCCGATACCCCCTCTTTTTTGTACTTGTGATGGAATACCTTCATTGCGTGTTACAAGGTTTGAGCAAGAATCCTAACTTTAATTTTCATCCAAAATGTGAAAAACTTAAGATTCTTAATTTATATTTTGCAGATGATATATTAATGTTTTGAGAGGTGATACAGAATCGATGAAGCTTATTATGGAAAAAGTTAGGTATTTTACTGCTTCTACTGGCTTATCCATCAGTATCCCAAAAAGTAAGATATATTGTGGATGGATATATGAAAATACGCAAGAGGCCTTGCGCCTGTCCACTGGTTTCTCTATAGGGGCGCTACCGTTTAAATATTTGGATGTCCCGCTGGCAAGCAAGAAGCTCTCCATTAATGATTGTCAACCTCTGATAGAAAGAATGCTGAAACGGATTTCCCACTAGAATACCAGGCTTCTCTCCTATGCTGGCCATTTACAGTTAGTAAAAAGCGTTATATTCTCGATAGCTAATTACTGAATGCAGATTTTTCCGCTGCCTAAAAAAGTCATAGCTCACATTGACAAAATATGCAGGAACTTTCTCTGGACAGGTAAGGATGGTTCGTCTCGTAAAGCTCCCGTGTCATGGGAATAAATGAGCAAACCGATTTCTGCAGGGGGCTGAACATCATTCATCTTGGTGATTGGAATAAAGCCACTATCAGTAAACTCCTCTGGAATGTTTATGCAAAAAAAGATAAATTATGGATTAATTGGGTTCATATATATTATTTGAAGAAGAAGGACACCACAACATATGTTCCAGCGGCGCGTAACTCGTGGATAATTAAAGCTATATTCAAAAACCGAGATATGCTTGTTAACTCTGTGGATTGGGAAATTTTTTGTAATGCTGATCGGTATGTGATAGAAATCAAATTTGAACTTTTCATTTATGTTATTGTGTGAAAGTTAGTTACAAGAGGAGATACACAGTTGCATTTATAGTAGCAACTTGTGTGAGCAACTCTGATTTGCTTGGCAAGAACTCTTTCTCTCACAAAGAAGAGGTCAATTTCCATATGTTTTGTCCTGGAGTGGATGATGGGATTGTGAGCCAGCATCACTGTAGATTGATTGTCACATAACACCATTGGTTGTTGAGTAGGAACACATAGTTTAGTTAATAAAGTTTGAAGCCAGAGAAGATCAGTTGTGACCTGAGCTAACCTTTTGTATTCTGCTTTTGTGCTGGACCTAGCAACCACAGGTTGCATCTTGGACCACTAGGACACTAAATTTCCTCCAAAATATATAGCTGCACCATATGTACTGCGCCTATTATTAGGGTCTGAAGCCCGGTCAGCATCACATAAGACTTGAAGGGAAGGAGCCTTAGATGGGACATGAGGGGATAGATGAAGACCATGCTGGATAGTACCTTTAAGATACCTGAGTATTCTTTTGACAGCAACCCAGTGAGTTTTTAGAGGATGAGACATAAACTGAATGACTTTATTGACATCATGAGCAATGTCAGGTCTTGTGATGGTTGCATATTGGAGAGCCCCCAACCACATACTAGTACATATATGGATTAGCAAGGACAGGGGAGCTAAGTTTAGTTAGCTTGAGCTAAGTTTAGTTAGCTTGCAGGAGGGCTGCATATGAGTGGCAACAGGGGAAGAGTCAACCATGTGAGTTCTCTGCAGTAAATCCCTAATATACTTAGTTTGAGTGAGGACCATAAATCCATGAGCAGTAGACTTTACTTCAATCCCAAGAAAATAATTCAAATCACCCAGGTGTTTGAGAGAGAAGTCAGAGTTAAGTTTTATGAATAATGGATTGAAGTAGAGTAATGTTATTGCTGGTGATGATGATATCATCCACATACATTAGCAAATAAACTGTGTTACCATTTGCAGCAAATGTGAACAAGGAGGGATCACATTGGTTGGGTTTGAAATGCAGTCTAAGAAGAGCATCTTGTAACCTTTCAAACCACTGCCTAGGGGCCTGTTTCAAGCCATAAAGGGCTTTGTGCAGTTTGCACACAAGAGAAGAATTCGAGTTAACAAAGCCAGGAGGTTGATCCATATAGACCTCTTCATGGAGGAGCCCATTCACAAAGGCATTATTTACATCAAGTTGTTGAATACACCATTTGTGAGTGAGAGCAATAGTTAGAATGAGTCTAATTGTAATTGATTTCACAACTGGAGAAAAGGTCTCATTAAAATCACACCCTTGCTTCTGATGAAACCCTTTTGCTACAAGGCGTGCCTTGTACCTGCTGATTGAGCCATCGGGGTTTTCCTTGATGCGAAACACCCACTTACAACCTATAGATTGCCTATTAGGTGGAAGAGGCACAAGAGACCAGGTGTTATTGCTACTCAAGGCATCAAATTCAGATTGCATAGCTTCTTTCCACTTAACATCTGCAAGAGCTTGTTTCACAGTTTTAGGTTCTGTATGAGTGAGTAACAATTTGGGTTGCAAAAATCCAGTTTTGGCTCTTGTTATCATGGAGTGTTGGTGTTTACCGGGAAAAACGGTAAACAACCGCTGATCTTCCAAAAGGTTACTTATTTGGTGACTAGCAGGATCGATCAGATTGATCCTAAGACATGGTTGATTTGTTGTAGTTCGACTAATCCTAATGGTGATTAATGCCAGTAAAGTAAAGACACTTTAAGTAAATTGCATGGAGAAAAGCTTGATAGAATAAATAAAAGCGTTAAGAAATTGTTAAATAAAAGGCTTCGACGGAAGTAAATAAATGAACAACGGTAAATTACTTGAATATAAAAGATTTTGATTAATTTAAATGGTGTTTCACACATACATTCTCAATGATTCTTTCTCTCACGCTGGGTACTTGAATCTAAATGAGTGACTTGTATAAAATGATGAACACACTAATAACTACATAAAAACTTAGTATTTATACTAAGAAAAATCCTAAGTAACCGCTGGGCAGTTACACCGCTTCGAGATGACGCCACATGGCACGCTCACAACCTTCGACGCCTATGTTCTCAACACGTTGCACTTGGTAACTGCTGGGAACCGTTTTCCCTCCAACAATTCAAATCTCAAACCGTTCGACCTTGGACATCAGGGACCTTTGTCGAGAGGTTCCTTCGACGTCGAAGACAACAAGATTCCAACTAAAAGGAATTTCTCTAAGTATCTTGTCATTCTTTGATGAGCCTTCGACATGATCAGTTGGTCGAAGCCTTCTTATGTAGGAAACTCTTCTGACTCATAATTAATGGTCTATATGATAATAAACATGGGTGTCGAATTTAGGAGCCAACAAATTGTCCCCCAAGAATGTCTTATTTCGACACTGAAAAGAAAAAGGCATTCTTTGAGATTCCATTCGACACCTGTCCTTCATTCTCAGCCACAAATCAGTTTGTGTGCTTTTCGTCTCCTACCAACCAACTGACAATCTCAAAAAGTCATCATTTCACCTTTTCCCAAGACGTCACTTCAGTAAGGCATTTTTGCACGCACGATATCCTTTCAAATGTCGTCATCATGACTATTTCCCGAAATCGAGGACGCACGCTGTAACGTTTCCGTTCTTCAGAACGGTTACAGCACCAAATGAGTGCCACGTGCCCCACTCTTGTCTGTGGCATTAAATGACCTCGAGCCTTGTGATTTTTCAATCACTATAAATAGCACTAAGTGCCTCTGTTGGACTCTTTACGCTTTCTTGCATCCAAATCTTTAGTCGAACGAAATTTTCTGCAAGTAAACCTTTGCTTCTTCCTCTCCAAACCCAGTAATCTTTGTTCTTCATCTTCATCCATCTTCATCTCAAACCAAAAAAATGGCTTCACGTACTCGTGCTTCCAATGTCCCCAGATCTAGCACTCCCTCTAAAACTACTCAACCGGAAATCTTCTCAACTGCTCAGATAGTTAACTCCATGGGAATGCGAAGGGTTCCTGAACCCGTGGGAGACGTTGAGCGTGAAACTTATGGTTCTCAACTGCTGATTCCTGTTGGGTATTCCAACCAGGTTTTTGCCATGTCAGGTCCTCTTTCAACCTGCATTGCTGACCCAACGAAAATCGAGGGTTTCTTCCCCGTGTATGAGGCACTCAAACCCATTGGGTGCTCAAAGAAGGCGACAAATGATACCGAAGATCCTGCAAAAGAGAAAATAGATCTTCGGTTTTTTAACAGGGGGGTTAGGGCTTTTAGGTCTAGCCCTAACCTTACACCAAAATACAACGCTTGGCTCAACAAGATGGAGAAGTACTAGGCTTCGATTTGGAAAGGCATGGGCATTTATGACCTAGTCATGCTGTCCAAAACTGGTCTTAACTATTGTCCTGAAATGCTGGTAGCTTCTTTGCTGTTTTGGGACTATACTCACTATACCTTCCACTTGCCTTGTGGAATGGTAACTCCCACTCTCTTCGACGTGGCCGCTATTACTGGTCTTCGACCAACTGGGGACTACTTCGACCCAGAGGAAATGTCTGAAGACCAGATTGAGTTTTCTGCTACCAAACCCACTTACACCACCTACACCAACCACTACCATGACAAATCGACGGCTATGGTGACTGATGTGGAGCACATCGCGTTTCTAGCCCTTTGGCTGTCGCGCTTCGTGTTCTGCACGAAATCCCTACAGGTGACGAAGAAAATGGTCACCCTCGCTACTCAGCTTCATCACGGCCAAAACATTTGTTTGGCCGAATTAATACTGGCAAACTTGTATGAGTCGATAAGCAGTGGAGCGACTCAATTAAAAATAATAGAAAATAGAGCCAGCTTGCTGCTTGCTGGTCCCTTCTGGCTACTTCAACTCTGGCTAAATGCCACTTTTGAGTCATTTCTACCCCAGAAGACTCAAATAAATGAAAAGGATCCTGAAATAGCCAGAAGGCGCGTCGAAGGCACCAGGCTTGCCTTATTAACTCCTACTGAAGATGGGTTGGAACTACAAAAGACCTTTGCAAACTTCGTTCAGATGTTTGCAGGGAGGAAGGAATTTACCTCGACCATGGCCCCTTTCGCCGGTCGAAAGTTTGGTCCAGGGTGGTTTATCAGGCCCCATCCTAAATCATCAGAGGATCCTCACCTTGAAGAGCACACAACAATGTGGGAAGCGTTTCTTACCCTAAGGATAATGCCACTGCGTTTCAAGACTTCAAAAAATCAGCTGAGCCTGATTGCTTACCAGCCGAATCTTGTCTCTCGACAGTTTGGCATTATCCAATCGCTTCCTTCTCCAATTTATCCTCGGGAGAAATCGTTGTTGTACTTTTGTAATGACTACTCTGAGGATGCCGCTACTAGGCATATTAGTAGGTACGTTGGTCGGACCGTACTATCATTGTTCGACTACCAACTCAACTTCCTCTGTTCACCATCTTTTGAAGACTGGTGGAAGAGATATTACGTCGAAGAGTTCTTCGACGAAAAGGATTTTGCAGACGAACTCCAGAAGTCCTTCGTCTTGGTTCTTGATAAAATAAAGAAATGTACGTTCCTTCAAATTATATTTGTCTTTTCATTTCAACTTATATCTGCCAAATATAACTTGTGAACGTTTCTTCTTTCAGTTGTTCTAAAACTTGTGGCGAAGAAAGCCACAGACAGACATCAGGGTGGAGGTCCCTCTACAAAACCTCCAGCACAGGTAACAAAAATTTCTCTTGTTTCCTTCTTTGGTTTTAAACATTCTTGTTCCTGACGCTGTGTTTTAAATCGACTCCATTTGGGATTTTCAGGAACCTGCGCCTAAGAAGCGACCTATATTAACGGTCGAATCTTTGAGTGGCGACGAGGAGGAATCTCCTCCTGTTCCTCTCAAATGGAGAAAGCTGAAGAAGGCTGCCCCTGCTCCTGAACCTCGACTTGTGATAAGAACCAAGGTCACAGGGAATAAACCCAGGCCACCTCATGTGATCATCGAAGAACCCACGGAGGAGGAGCTAAATATCTTGCTCAGCAAACCCGTTGAGAGTGACAACTCTAGCCCTGGGGCTGAGGTTCCTTTACAGGTAGTGCCTTCGACCACTTTTAACTTAGGTGTCGATGATCACCTTCGATTGTGCATCTCTCTAATCAGAATATTTTTCCTTTTCTATTTTTAGGAAACAGAGGGAACTTCAGCACCAACTAGGCATCCTGTCGAAGGTTCTGATACCTTCGTAAACAGCACAGGAGAACCCACCTTCAATCCTTCTTCTTTCGTCAGTTCTGCTAATGAAGTAAATCAAACTTCGGAGCCGCAAGACTCTGCTGACCATAGCAGACAACACGAAGAGGAACTGGTGGATGATGAGTTCCTTGCTGCAACAGAGGATGTCCCTGAGGAGCATCACCAGGAGTAAACTCAAGTGGTCAATGCGACAGAAAAGCAACATGATGAAGTGGGTCATGTTGACGTCGATGCTGCTGAAAATGCTCAGCCCCAAGCCACCAATGCCACAGAAAAGGTTACCTCGACAAAGCCCAGATCTAAAGAGGACTTAGCCCTCTTAAAGCAAAATGATCCAATTTGCTATCTGAACGTCATCATCGAGAGCAGGGAAAATTCATTCGACCCCAGTCATGATGCTTCTACTGCATCAGGGAAGTCTACTTCGACTTCTCCTCTCGATGATGTCTTAAAGAAAGTTAAGGCTCAATTCTTCAAGAGGGATCTAATGAAGGCTTTGGAAGGGGATCCTACTGCTCAGTCTTGTTTGGGGGCTGTCTTGGGTGCAGTCAATTTGCTTGCTGTTTCTCCAGAGATTTCCAGCTTCATCTTGGAGTTATACTCCATTATTGACCAAGTCTCTACGGATTATAATCGTCGAAGGGGGTTCAACAGCCAACTCGAAACGCTGCATGGCAAGAGTTCTTCTGCTTGGACTGAAGTAGCTGAATTGACTTCTCGAATTGCAGAATTATCGAAACAGAAGACGTCCAAGCAACAGGAAATCGAAGCCATAGATCAGGATAACGCCTCTATACGGGCGCAGATCGAGGAGTTGGAAGCCAGGTTAAACGCTAACACTAATTGCAAAGAGGAACTCCTTTCGACCGTTTCAGACGCAGAGAGCCAAGATGAAGTTACTCGAGGCCTAGAGTTCGCTGAAAGGGCCCAAGCCCTAGATGACCAGATTGCCAAAATTTCTCAGGCGAATGCCTTGTGTAACAAACGACTGGAGTTACAGCGAGCCAAATATCTCCGTCTCAAAGCCTCTGTCCCTTTTTAATTTTGCTCTGTATTTCATTGACCACGTACTGTAATTTTTGTAATACAATGTAGCCATTTTGGTTGATCAATGTCATTTTCCATTTTGGCCTTATGGTTAACTTAGTCATTAATTCTTATTTATTTTGATCTCTTGAAGCATAGGTTTATATTTTTTCAAATATTTACCGTTTACCCTCAAGAGTCTTTTATCTTCGTTTAACTCTTCGACCTCATAAGCTCCACCAGAAAAAGTTCGAATGATTTTGAAAGGTCCTTCCCACTTGGGTGACCATTTTCCCAAGCTTCGATCTCTTCGATCCATAGGAAGAATTACCTTCCAAACTAGTTCTTCAGGCGTGAATGCCTTAGGTTTTACTTTCTTATTGTAAGAGTCTTCCACTCTTTTCTTCTGAATTCTCAGTAGGTCGAGAGCTCGTAGTCTTTCTTCATCTAAATCTATCAATTCGTCTAACATCATATCCCAATAAACCTCAGAGGGAATATCTTGATGTCTTTGAACCCTTGCTGATTGAAGACAAATTTTTGCTGGCAGTATTGCGTCATGACCGTAAGTTAGCCGATATGGTGTTGTACCTGTGGCTTCTTTTGGGGACGTTCGACAGGCCCACAAGATCTGGTCTAACGTTTTATGCCAATTTTTTGGCTTCTTTCCTACATGCTTTTTTATCAGGCCAATCACTATTTTATTTGCTGCTTCGACTTGACCATTTGCCTGCGCGTAATAAGGTGTTGATGTTAGGAGTCTAAAGCCTGTTTCTTGAGCGAATTCCTGCATCTTTCGACCAGTAAACACCGACCCTTGATCAGTTGTTATAGTCTCAGGGATTCCAAATCTGTAGATAATGTTCTTTTGAATAAATTCAATGAAATTTTCTTGGTATGCGTTGACTAAAGGGATAAATTCGATCCATTTAGTGAAATAATCAATGCCTACTAACATATACTTCTGGCTCTTTGATGATGCTGGTCGAATCTCTCCAATCAGATCCAACGCCCATCCTCTAAAAGGCCAAGGTTTCACTATTGAGTGAAGCTCACTTGCTGGTACATGTTGGATACCAGTATGGACTTGGCATTCCTGGCAACCCTTCGCGAACTCGACACAATCTTTCAAGATAGTGGGCCAATATAGTCCTTGTCGAAACAATAACCATTTCATCTTATGACCTACTTGGTGAGCCCCACATGCTCCAGCATGCGTAGTCGAAAGGGCTATGTATGCTTCGGTTTCGCTTAAGCATTTTAATAATACCCCTTCAGGCGTCTTTTTGAACAACTCATTACCCATGAGTACGTAACTTAACGCCCTATATTTTATTTTTCGTTCTGTCAAAGCTGCTGGATTTTATAGATAATCTACAATGGGTTTCCTCCAATCCTGCTCTGATAAATTGTCTATGAACGAAATTTCGAAATTCCTTCGATCAGCATACCCTAGTCTTGTCGATTCCAAATCAGTTGGAGACAAGCTGGTTGCTTTTATTTTTTCTCGAACTTCGATTGCTCTTTGTAATCTCGTTTTTGAAATTTTGTACCCAGATGCAATTTGTGCCAAATCATTGGCTACTTGGTTTTCCAATCTAGGTATGTGTCGAATATTAACCACTTCGAATTTTTTCAATAAACGATTTGCTATCACAAAGTACATAATGAGATTTTCTCTTATGCATTTGTACTCTTTTGTGACTTGCTTAATAACTAACTCTGAGTCTCCCATTATTTCGACTCGAGTTGCCCTCAATTCCAACAATATTTCAAGGCCAGTAATTAGAGCTTCGTATTCAGCCTCATTGTTCGAACAAGTACCTTCTATCTTGTACTTGAATGTTGTTGGAATTTTTTCTGGAGAAATAATTAAGACCCCTACCCCCGTTCCATCTTTATGGCTGGAACCATCGAAGTAAAATTTCCAGGGTTCTATCTCCACGTAATTTATATTTTCAACCTGAATCGAGTGGTCGACTATAAAGTCTGCTACCACTTGTCCTTTTACTGCCTTAAGAGGCATAAAGGTCAATGAATACTCAGTTAATGCTAGCGCCCACTTGCCAATTCGACTGTGCAAGATGGGTTTCGACAACATGTATTTGAAAATATCAAAATGAGACGAAACATACACATCAACTGGTTTTATATACTGTTTGAGCTTTGTACAAGAGAAATAAAGACATAGACATAATTTTTCAACTTCGCTATACCTAGTTTCTGCATCGTTCAAAACTCTGCTAAGGTAGTAAATGGGTCTTTTGACTCCATTTTAATCTTCTTGGGCTAACATGCTTCCCAAAGTTTTGTTGGATGCAACTATGTACAATCTCATACTCCTATTTCTACAAGGAGGCACCAAAATAGGTGGCTTGGTGAGATATTGATCTTGTCGAAGGCTTCCTGTTGCTCTTTCCCCCACTCGAATCCTTCCTTATTCAATCGAAGTAAGGGTGAGAAGGCTTGCGCTTTTCCACTTAGGTTAGATATAAATCTCCTTAAGAAGTTTATCTTGCCCAACAGAGATTGCAGTTCCTTCTTGTTCGTTGGCGCTTTCGCTTCCAAGATTGCCTTCGTTTTGTTCTGGTTGATTTCGATTCCTTTCTTGTGGACGACGAAGCCCAAGAAATCTCCAGCTTTCACACAGAACGCACACTTCAAAGGGTTCATTTTCAAACCATGCTCTCTCATTCTTTCAAATGATTGTCAAAGGTGGTCTATATGGTTCTTCCTGGAAACAGATTTTACAACGATATCATCAATATATACTTGCATGAAAGTGTTAATAAAATCATGGAAGATAGAGTTCATCGCTCACTGATATGTTGCCCCAGCGTTCTTTAGGCCAAAAGGCATTACTACCCATTCGTAAGTGCCTAAGGCCCCAGGGCATCGAAAAGCTGTTTTCGACACATCTTCTTCAGCAATGAAAATTTGATTGTATCCTGAGTAACCGTCGAGCATGCTCAGGTACTCGTGGCCAGCGGCAGAGTCGACTAGCATTTCCTCCACAGGCATAGGATATTCATCTTTGGGTGTTGCAGCATTCAAATCTCTGAAATCTATGCACACCCTCAACGTACCATTTTTCTTAATTACTGGCACAATGTTTGCAATCCATTCGACATACCTCGTAGCTCGTATGAATTTGCACTTCAGCAGTCTTTCGACTTCCGTTTTGATCTTCGACAGTATTTCTGGAGCGAAGCGTCTTGGACATTGCTTGACTGGCTTTTTTCCAGGTTTGATTGGCAACTGAAGTTCTACCAATCCTCTGTCGAGACCAGGCATCTCGTCGTAATCCCATGCAAAGCAGTCCTTGAACTCCTTTAATAATTGGATCACTTCAACCCTGAGCTCTGGGTCTATTTTGGCACTGATGTAAGTGGGCCTTTTATCTAAACCTTCGACCAAGTTGATTTCTTCTAAAGGATCTTGTGCTAACATTTTGATGTTGTTCGCCAGGGGGTCCTTTTCGAATCCCAAAGGCTCATCGTCATAGATGGCGTCGAGCCTTTGATCCTGCATTCCTTCTGTCACAATATCTGGAGGTTCTGGGTCGAAATCTTTTCCAGGACCTATATCTGGTGGTTCTGGTTCGTTGGCCTTGGTGGCCATATATTTTACTTCGGCTTCGAGAGCCGCTATAATCCTTGTTTCGGCTACGTAAGCCAAAATTCGCTGCAATGCTTGTGACTCAGTCATTATCACTGAATTCACTTCCCCAACCAGTTGGTTGGATGTCAGTTAGCCCACTGAAATCAATGTGGGACAAGTCTTCTTTATCCCATTGAAACCCATGATCAGGATGCAGGTACAAGGAACAAAAAGCATTTGGCGCTGGCGCCATGTCGAAGTCAGGTGCTGGACATGGCCCAATGTGAGCCAAATTTTTATCGAAGTCAGCTCTCCCTAGGTGATTTACTTCGCCTAAGTAGTAGCTCTGATCTGCTTCTATATTCTCGACAATTCCATCAGGACGCCATAATATCACCCTTTGGTGCATTGATGATGGTACTGCTCCTACATCATGTATCCATTCTCGGCCCAACAAAAGGTTGTAATTTGGTTTAGCCGATATGACCATAAACATGGTTGGTCGAAGGATGGATCCCACTTTGAGGTCCAGTTGAATCACACCCA